AGAGAGAGAGAGAGAGAGAGAGGAACAAATCAGGCAAACGAAAAGAAAATGTCAAGACGCGCAAACGAGCGATGGAATACTTTGACCTTGAACAGAATATTTTTATATCACGGAAAAGAGATTAATCGTCTCGTCAATGTATCATTGACCAAGGTATCTCACATCTCGCAAATAAAAGAGGAAAAAAGAAGGAAACTTTCAATCTCGTTGACACGTATCTCGCGTTATTTAATTTCTCGATATTTAATTTCCGACCGCAGAAGTTCTTATCGCTCCTTTTCCATTCCTCCTCGCTCTCACGTTCCAATTATTTTCCACTTCCAAAAAGGAGAAAAAAATATTCCGCACTGCACTTGGACATCGTCGTTAGTTTTCTTCTCGATCGAAGGTAGAAGAGAAGAAATCAGGTTCACGCACGCGTCGCGATCGAAAAAAAAAGAAGCTCCACGAATCCGCAGTTCGCGCGAGCAGTTTCATCGCGAAAACCATAAATTTTTACAGACGCGTGAGTACAACCAGCTTGTTTTTGCCTACCTGTGAGACGGAGACGTCGTCGACAGTGGAAATCGGAATATCGGAAAACGCGAGATCGACGTCGACTCGCTCCGCTCGAGAATTCGCGCGTCGAGACGTTACCGTTCGACTACGATCGAAAACGGAAACTAGTCGCCGATCAAATATTACATTTTCATCGTTCGGGAAACAGTAGATACGTACTTACGTGTACTCGTAGCGGCGACATCGTTGCCAACATCGTCGATACTGGCCGATGCTATTTCGATGGTCGCTCGATGCTCGTGCGGATCCACGCTCGGCTATATACGCGTATATCGTTCACTCTCGAGATTTAATTTTAAACAAATTTAAAGGTCTCGCTAACCTTGGAATTTCTCGTTTAAACGTCGATTCTATTCTACCACGTTCTCCGTAGCAGTTACCTCAAAAGAAAGAAAAAGGAAAAAAGGAAAGAAAAGAAAACGTAACCCACGCGTACGATCGTGTATCGGGTAAACAGTAGCAGTGGCAGAGCAGTACCACACGCGCGTCAGTCGAAATTCGCGTCGAATAAATTTCTAATACGTGGAAATTAGTCGACAGACAACGAAACTACATAATTTCGTTGGAGACGGAGTTGAAATCGTTCTCGACGAGAACTGATACAAATAAACGCGTGGTTTTATACATACAGTACCGTGACTCGCAGAGAGTTTCTTTCGCGTTCACGCCTTGCTACGTGTGTATATATATATACTATCTAGATACGAGTACGCAAGTATATACATAAATAAGGATTTATTCGCTTACTCATCGTAGTTGCTCGCTTCTTTCGGTCAACTGTTCTTTTTTTTTTATAAATCAGGCACTTTATTCTTTACAATTTAGCGCGCAGTTGGCATTCATGAATACACGTTTCAACGTTTCATCTGCTTTCCCACCCCCTTTCTCTTTCTTCCAGAGATTTTATTCTCCAGCTTGTGCGCAACACGTGACAAGTACGCTCAACGATTAAAAGTAAACGAATTAAAAATTACAAATTGCACGTAGAAAGGAAAAACGTGCAGGAACGATTTACACGATTCGAGGGTACTTTTAATCGTTTCAATCGTCTCCTTTGCAAGGAAAAGAAGAAAGAAGAGAAGAAAAAACATTTTCGTCGTCGATACACGCAAGTTACACGCAACGTATCGCGCGTATAATTTTCATATAATTTGTATAATTTTTTCTCACTCGTCGTTCGTTGCTTCTTCTTCCAGATTTTCTACGTTAGGTGGAAGGGTAGCAGAGCCAATATCGACATCTGCAGGCAAATTGTCGTCGTCGACGTCAAACTGATTCGTCGTTTCACGAACCGACGTCGTTCCTTCGTCCTCGTCCTCAACGTTGTCGGAGGGACAGAATCGTTCGGGAGAACGAGGGCGTACAATTTCCGTTGGAAAATTCGCATCTGCTTCAGGAAGCGACGTTGACCGTTCTCCTCCGCCTCGATCGCTGTTCGAAATTTCTTCGATAACGACAGGCCGTGGCGCGTCATCGAGCGCCAATGGTTCCCGAAGATCGTCGGGATCGGAGTTGAAACTCGTTCGACGTTGGTAGATCGGAGTCGAGCCGGCTTCGTCAGTCGTAGGAACTTGGCGCGGCGCGCGGCCGACGCGAACGACGCAGGGTGAAGCGTTCGAGGACAATCGATTCCAGTTGCTCGACGCGTTAACGAGCAGATGGAAATTTTCAAAGATATCGACGATCGTCGGAGAAAGCTCGTCGGAGCGACAACGCGGAGAAGGCACGTTGAAAATTCCCGTACATCCCGGTTGAATCATCTCCGAACACGGGTTGGCTGGAAACGCAAGTTCGCAATCGTCGGTCGTTCGAAGCGCAGGTTTCGACGAACGACAAACGAGCATAATATTTTCGGAAGTAGTTTCGACGAGAGGTAGCGGCAAAGAATCGTGAAATTCCCCGGTGTGCCGACGATCGCGCGCAATCGGTCCTTTCTTTCTCTCCTTTTCCGACAATGCCGTTTCTTCCATTTCGTCCTAAAGCGAGAAGGGGAAAAAAACAAACGTCGTTAAAATCACCGTTGGGAGCAGTTGGTTCGGTCGTCGAACTCGAGGACTCGTCGTCGCTACTCGAAGACGAGGAAAGCGAAAAAAAAAAAAAAA